GTAATCATCAAAAATAATTATGAACCAAATGTTTTTTATGAATATACAACTTGAACAAAAAGTTGTTTAGAACAATTTTTACCAAATTTGCAAAAATTTTAAATTGAAACGCGTAATTCAGTACAAGTAAACATGAAATATTGTAAATACTTATTTAATATCATTTCGAGTGTTTAACGACGAAAAGTTCATCTGTCCGTAGCGTCTTTTGTCAGAATATTCGTATATTTAGTGTATTATATACCAATATTGTACGCAGTTTTGAAACTGATAATTAAACCAAACCAAACCAAACCATAATAAATGATAGAATTTCACTAAATTTAAATTGTCCCCCGTATGGTTGAAAACAGCAAATTGATATTTGATTACTTATAGATTACCACCTATATACAAAATGACACGAAGACCTGGAATATGGCGCCCAACTTGCCCATCTTCTGCGCATGTTGACGCTCATTCTCTATCCCTTCTATTTCTCTGGGTTTTACCACAGTTTAAAGAATATAGATATATCAGTTGACCCACTCTTCGCCCGTATCAAAATTCCTTCCGCCGCCGCCGCTCCCCGCCTGTCTTGTAGACTTGGGTCAGTCTACATCTGTTGCTCGACGTGTACACAACGTTCCAAGTTTATTTTAGTTTTGTTTTCGGTCCGACGCATAGAGTGAACCAAAAATAGTGTTTTAGTTGTTTTGTTCGAATTGTGAATAAAATGTCTACTAGAAATATTTGTGCAGTGGATGGTTGTGAAAGTAGAATGACAGACAATATATCGTTCTTTAGGTGCCCCAAAGATGAAGGAAGGTATGGGGTTATATAGTATAGGATATTAAGTATATAATAATTAAAGTATTAGACATATTAAGTATATTATAATTATGGAAACCTAATTATGAATAAATTGTTTTAAAAATATACATATAAATTAAGAAAAGATTTTACTCGAAATATGCACAAAATATTTATTTTTAACAATTAGTTTATTATTTTAGTAGATATTTTAGAGTAGTAGTAGATACTTTACTATTATGTTTTGGATTTTGCAGTATTTACCGGTTTGCAAAGTGCATATTAAATTATTTTTTAAGATATTTGCATTTTTTTAAATAGCATGTTATACTTTTTAGATGTTTGTATTTAACTTTAACTCCCTACCAGGAAAGTCCAATTTTAATCGTGAGGTAATAAAAATACGTGCATACAACTTGTTCTACTATTGACAAGTTTTTTAGAGTTTTTACTAAATTTTATATAACAGTAAATATATAACAATTGACGAGCACATGGGAAAAACGATGGGTATCCAGAAATGGGGTGGGGGGATAAATGTCCAGGAAACCGTTTTTTTTTAATTCAAATTACGCATGGACTTTTATATCCGAGTCTATATCGTTTTCCCATTTTTAAATGCCTGTTTCTATGTGGCCGTTATCGATATTCCCGTTTATTTAGGTACCAAAAGGTGTTTTTTTGGTACTTTCATTATTTTTTCCGTGTGCTCTTCAATTAGTAGTAAATACTGTAATAAATGATATTTGCATATTTCTTAAGTTATAGCATGTTTCGCTTTTTAGCTGTTTGCATTTAACTTGAATTATCTACCTTTTTATCCAAAGGTAATAAAAAGTACTTGGATACAACTTGTCTTGCCATTGTCAATTTCTTTTCAGTTTTTACTAAATTTTATCGAACAGTAAAATTTATTACACAATGAACTACTAACAGTCATAATTACTGTTCATGATAATCATAAAATTTTGAAAAAAATCCAAAAAAATTGACAATGGCAACCCAAGTTGTATGCAAAGGTACTTTTATTACCTTACGATAAAATTTGGGCTTTCCGAGTAGGTAAATAAAGTAAAATGCAAACATCTATAAAGCAAAACATGCTATAATTTAAAAAATATGCAAATTATTATTATATATATTAAAAAAAATAACTTATTATATTTATTTAGTATACATTTTTAGTATACATTTTTCATAATAAATTAGTATTTATTATATATATTAAAAGATAATGTTCTTAACTAAAATCCGTTTTTTATTTCACATTTCAATTCATATCGTATTTATATTTGTAAACAATGAGATATGTTTGATCGTTGTTGTTATGATAAACTAGTACTGTATTTTTATTTTTCTACTTGCTATCTTAAAATTCCTTAGTATTTTTAGTTGATTCCTCGTATACGGCCAGCGTTCTGACTGATAAAATAGCACTTCCGCTGCACCCGGTAAACGTACAAATTTTTTGTCACCTCGAAGCGTCACGGGCCGCCTTTGAAGTCAAAATAACAATAGAATTCCTTAGAGTGGGCCAACTGGTATGTATTATTTAAACTGTGGTTTTACTTGATAATGAAATGGCATTAAATTCCATTAGTTCTCAATCAAAATACAAATTCAAGTAAAAAGTGCAGGGTACATTGTATTTATTTAATGTAAGAATTTTTATTTTAGTTTATTAACGTTAATAATTAAAGTTACGGCCTAACCTGAATGTAGAGTAGATGTATGTACTCGTATGTATTAAGACAAATTAGAAAATAAAGTACTATTTATCTTTTTTTCAAGATTTTCATTAAAATGTCCCGATTTTATATGTACTTTAGCAAGTTGGTCACCTGGACTATATTCATATTATTTTGTATAAATTTACTAATATTTTTTTCAGTGTAAGGAAAATGACAGTTCTTTTGTAAATCTTTGTCGTTTGTATAATTACACATTTTGGAAATTTTCAGTGAGAAAATCAGTAAAACTAAATAGCTCAATCGTAGGTCATTTCTTGACTGATTATTGACAGATATTGACAGAATGTAACTGAGACGGTACGGTAACGGAACTGAGATGTGACGCACATGTGTGATTACACCTTAAATAATTTTAAGTTCAATGCACGGCTTTATAACATGGCAAACCAACTTCTAAAATTCTAAAAGGTTTGTTTTTCACATTATTTCTCGTCCTTTTTGCGGGAAAAAGTCCATTATTAAGGCCTTTACAATAGCCCGGTTACCGTTAGTTCGCGTGACATGTAAAAATATGATTATGCCCTCTACAAAATGTTAATGAACCTCACTTACATACGCCTAATCCAGGCTATACCAAGTATAAAACAAAATCAAATAAATTAATGTAGGCTTTTGTATTTAATTGAATAGATTAATTAAAACTGAGGAATGTTCATTAATTATTTAACAAAAACATACTATAGAATATACAGGGAGTCTCAAATACGACGGTAGCCATCAGTGGCGCATATACGGGAGGGGTAATGCGGGTAATTATCCCTCCCAGGAAGAAATTTATAAAAAATAAGAAAATCTGGTATAAAATAAAATTGTCACAAAATAAACTAATAATGTCAATCAAAATAGAAATCCAGAAAAATCTAAGTTTATTTTTTTCCATATAGTCACAACACCTTTGAGAAAAATTTAGTTTAAATATACCTACTTACCTATTACTTTAATCAAATACTAGCGTGTACCCGCGACTTCGTTCGCGTCGAATTAATCATTTGTAATGGTGATGTTTGCCAAAAATAAGCTTTTTACGTCAAGCAGTTTAAGAAGAATCGTGGTTAATCAATTACCCAACTTTTTGGAACACCCTGTATGATTTTTAAAAAAAAAATTCAAAATATGTAAAAAAAATAAATTATGCGTATCCAAGCGTTTTCCCGAAAGCCTAACCGTTTTTTAAATAACAAATATTGTAATATTTGAGAGGCGTTTTCACCCTCTTGGAATTTGGGATTCTAGAAACCCCTCCTTATGTACCTCTCCTTGTTTCCCAAAAATCAGCTTTAAACGTCAAGCAGTTTAAGCAGAATCGTGATTACTCAATGGTTATATTTTATGAAACACCCTGTATAAATTTTTAAAAAATCTTAAAATATGTAAAATAACAAAATAAAATATACGTGTTTAAGAGTTTTTTTGAGAAACTCACCGGTTTTAAAAAAAAATATTCTAATATTTGAGGGATGGTTTCACCCCCTTAGAATTCGAGTTTCGAAAAATCCTTTCTTATCGAACTTCTATACACCCTAAAGTCAATCCTTTTTTCAAAAATCAGCTTTTTACGTCAACACCCTGTATACAATTTTAAAAAATCTTAAAATATGTAAAAAACAAAATAAAATATACGTGTTTAAGCATTTTTTCGGAAACTTGACCGTTTTTTAAATAAAAAATATTGCAATATTTGAGGGGTAGTTTCACCCCCTTGGAACAATTTTTACAAGAGCGAAAGACATATTTTGGGTATTATTTTTTCGAAATACCAATACATGCATTTATAGGAAGTACTTAGTAAAAAAATAGATTAAACAAAACTCTGTTCCTGTATATAATACAAAAGACAGTGTTTTATTCGAAATAGTGAAAAAATAATAAAAAGTTAGTAAAAAAATTAATTTTGACTTACCCTGTATGTTTATAATTGTTGAAGAAGACACTAATATACAGTACTTCTGGTTAAACAGCATCAACAATTTTTTGTAGAGTGCTTTAAACAAGCGAAAATTTTATAAAATGGTCATACTTCAAAAACCACTCAGTATATTCGAATCTGAAGTTTTCGTATTTTTACTCTCACAATCCACTGGACTAAAAAATATAATAGCATTTCATTTAAAAATATTCTATTTTAGTTAAAAAAATATGTTTAAATCACCCTGTTTATTGACAAGAATGTCCATTGCCTGCATATTTTATATTTCACCCAACGTATACCACAATAAAATAAACAATAAAATAAAATAAATATATTTATAAAATTTTACTATTCTTATAAATAAATTTGGGTCCCATAATGTTTTTTCCTCATCTCTGGTAACCAAAACAACAACAAAAAACTCAGTAGACGTCATCCTAATAATGGCCCTACTAGCTCAACAAAAAAAACGACCCCTCTCATGGCCTACTAGACAGACCGAGTACCGAACGAACGTACCGAACTCCTCACTGATCCATTCATTCATTTTCATTTATCAGTCAACTACGGTCTAGCGTACTGGTCGTACGTTTCAATCGCGTAGGCTTCGCAACAGTCGAAAGTTTTTCGATTTATTTTACCAAAACATTTGTTTATCGCGTATTTGTGACAGAACTTCAAATTTTGTGTGTGTCTAAAGTGATTTTTATAGTGCCAAATAGTTGGTTTTTAATTGATTTTAACCATGAAAGAAGATTAAGTTAGATTACTTGAGGAATTATACAATGTTGATAGCCACCCCTTACAGAGACTTTGATGTTAGGGACAGGAGACCCCCCAAAGTGATCTCAGAGGTGCGGAAGACCTACTTGAACTCGGCCGCGACGAATTCCAGGCCGAAATTATCAGGTAAAATATGTTTTTAATAATAGCAATTCACGTAAAAATGTACGGCCCTGTATTAAGGGCCTGGGAAAATATCAAATAGTACCCTGTATAATTATATACGGGATAGGGTGAGGGGATTATAGATCTAAGGGGGTACATTTTTGTAGCGCGACTGGTTTTTGATACAGGGTGTCTCAGAATGCATGTTCTAAAGAAATAGGTACTTGAGTTATATACAAATAAAGAAGCTTCAGTTTTGAAATTCTTGGATTCCTGTAGTTTGATTCTGAATCTACATGAAATTTTCTACAAATGCTGAAATTTTTATAATTTTGTGGCTATGATAACTGTTTTTGCAAGGTCTTTGAAAATATGTAAAAAATATCCAAAAATTGGTAATTTTTTTGGCTTTTTTTCATACTATATACTGTCCATACTTAACTATATAGTTAAAACTGCTGTTATTTACTAATTAAAAGGCGTATAGTAAGAAAATATACGCCATTTAGTTTTACGAGAACAGCAATGGATGTAGAACACAGTTTTAACCATCATCAAAAATAGCTCAAAATAAGGGTCCAAAAAATTAATTTTCCCACAAAACCAAGATATCTAAGCCTTTAAAGGCGTATATATTCTGAATCTGCATAAAATTCTCTACAAATGCTGAAAGTTTTATCATTTTATGACTATGATTACTGTTTTTGCAAGGATTTTGAAAATGTGTTAAAAATTGGCAATTTTCTGAGTCTTGAAAAGTGGGGATTTTTGTCATGTCACCGATTTTGTGAAAACTGCCATTATTTACTAATTAAAATGCACAGAATAAGAAAATATAGACTACAGTAATCTTACGGGAACAGTAATAGATGTAGGAGACGTTTTAAGCATCATCAAAAATAACTCAAAACAAGGGTCCAAAAAATTAATTTTCCCGCAAAACCAAGATATCTAAGCCTTTAAAGGTGTATATATTCTGAATCTACATAAAATTTTCTACAAATGCTGAAAGTTTCATCATTTTATGGCTATGATTACTGTTTTTGCAAGGCCTTTGAAAATGTGTAAAAAATAGCCAAAAATTGGCAATTTTCTCAGTCTTGAAAAGTGGGGATTTTTGTCATGTCGCCGATTTTGTGAAAACTGCCATTATTTACTAATTAAAATGCACAGAATAAGAAAATATAGACTACAGTAATCTTACGAGAACAGTAATAGATGTAGGAGACGTTTTAAGCATCATCAAAAAATAACTCAAAACAAGGGTCCAAACAATTAATTTTCCCACAAAACTAAGATATTTAAGCCTTTAAAGGTGTATATATTCTGAATCTACATAAAATTTCCTACAAATGCTCAAAGTTTCATCATTTTATGGCTATGATTACTGTTTTTGCAAGGCCTTTGAAGATGTGTAGCCAAAAATTGGCAATTTTCTCAGTCTTGAAAAGTGGGGATTTTTGTCATGTCACCGATTTTGTGAAAACTGCTATTATTTACTAATTAAAATGCACAGAATAAGAAAATATAGACTACAGTAATCTTACGGGAACAGTAATAGATGTAGGAGACGTTTTAAGCATCATCAAAAATAACTCAAAACAAGGGTCCAAAAAATTAATTTTCCCACAAAACCAAGATATTTAAGCCTTTAAAGGTGTATATATTCTGAATCTACATAAAATTTTCTACAAATGCTCAAAGTTTCATCATTTTATGGCTATGATTACTGTTTTTGCAAGGCCTTTGAAGATGTGTAAAAAATAGCCAAAAATTGGCAATTTTCTCAGTCTTGAAAAGTGGGGATTTTTGTCATGTCACCGATTTTGTGAAAACTGCCATTATTTACTAATTAAAATGCACAGAATAAGAAAATATAGACTACAGTAATCTTACGGAAACAGTAATAGATGTAGGAGACGTTTTAAGCATCATCAAAAATAACTCAAAACAAGGGTCCAAAAAATTAATTTTCCCACAAAACCAAGATATCTAAGCCTTTAAAGGTGTATATATTCTGAATCTACATAAATTTCTCTACAAATACTGAAAGTTTCATCATTTTATGGCTATGGTTACTGTTTTTGCAAGGCCATTGATAATGTGTAAAAAATAGCCAAAAATTGGCAATTTTCTCAGTCTTGAAAAGTGGGGATTTTTGTCATGGCACCGATTTTGTGAAAACTGCCATTATTTACTAATTAAAATGCACAGAACAAGAAAATATAGACTACAGTAATCTTACGGGAACATTAATAGATGTAGGAGACGTTTTAAGCATCATCAAAAATAACTCAAAACAAGGGTCCAAAAAATTAATTTTCCCACAAAACCAAGATATCTAAGCCTTTAAAGGTGTATATATTTTGAATCTACATAAAATTTTCTACAAATGCTGAAAGTTTCATCATTTTATGGCTATGATTAATATTTTTACAAGGCCTTTGAAAATGTGTAAAAAATAGCCAAAAATTGGCAATTTTCTCAGTCTTGAAAAGTGGGGATTTTTGTCATGGCAGCGATTTTGTGAAAACTGCCATTATTTACTAATTAAAATGCACAGAACAAGAAAATATAGACTACAGTAATCTTACGGGAACATTAATAGATGTAGGAGACGTTTTAAGCATCATCAAAAATAACTCAAAACAAGGGTCCAAAAAATTAATTTTCCCACAAAACCAAGATATCTAAGCCTTTAAAGGTGTATATATTTTGAATCTACATAAAATTTTCTACAAATGCTGAAAGTTTCATCATTTTATGGCTATGATTAATATTTTTACAAGGCCTTTGAAAATGTGTAAAAAATAGCTAGATATACGTTTAGGATCATCTGATCGTGTCGTGAACCTACTAAAATTCAAAAATTTAGCATTCAGACAATGTGAATGCAGTTTTATCAATTATGTTATCATAAAAGGGATTATATTTCGATAGCTAGGCATTTAAACAGTCCATATCTCTCTCCGTACCTTATATACCGAGTAAACAATTTAAAGTTAAGTAAATAATTACTGAATGGGGATATAACGTTTTTATTGAAAGATGTCAGTCCCTTTTTTGATTTTTCTTCAAATAATGATCTCAGAAAAAGAAATATTATTATTTGAGCCTTTAATAAAGGCTTGAAATTAATAAAGGCTTTAAATTAGCTCTGTTTTAATTGAAAAATTTGTTAGTTTTATTAAAATAACTTTGGTATCAGAGTTTTGAGTCACTAACTTATTCACCATTTAATACAGAATTCTAGAAAAGTCCTATCATTTTTGATAAATTTAGATTTTTTTTCCTCTGAAGTAATGATTCTTGGAACAGATTTTTGTTGTATAAATTTTTAAGTACGCCTGGTTGAAGTAATCATGAGTATCTATGAGTTATTAAAGTACTGAATAACTAGATTTTTTTGAAAATATTTCAGTTATTTTTATTTTTGTTTTAATATGTACCGGGCGTTTCAAATTTTACCCTCAACACTGGGATGTCAAAAACGGTAAGAGATACAGGGTGTACTACCACAAGACCCTTAGACTATATTAAATTATACAGGGTGAGTCTTAAATAAGTGCAAATATTTTTTGGGGTTGTAAAACACAATTATAAGGGATTTTTTTTTAAATTTAAAATTTTCTTGAATTTTTTTTAGTTTTTAGTTAAAAACGAAGTTAAAAAACATAATTTTTTGATAATATGGCAATATAGAAAGTAATTAAATTTACAAAAAAGACAATCCAGAAAAAAAGTCAAATTCCAAAAATTAATTCAATTTAAGCAAAAAATATTTCTTTTGGAAATTTTCAAAGTAAAATAACTTTGTGGACTTATTTGAAAAACGGTAAAGAGAAAGTAATTGCACTTATTTAAGGCTCACCCTGTATATTATTTGCAATAATTTCTTTGGTATCATTTATAGAATACAAGACAGACACAAAATACCGTATGATCGAAAAAAAACGGCGTCAGCGATGGCTATGAAATTAAGATCGCTGTCATTTTATATGTAAATATAGATGGGAAATGTCATCGATCGTCAGTTCCCAGCCAACTGGACGCCGTTTTTTTTTCGATCATACGGTATATTCTATATGAAATTTCCATAGAAAATTCGAGAATATTTGGAACTATCTAAGTGTACTTACTTACTTAGAATAGAAATATAATTAAAGCCAATTTGGTAGTACCACCATTGACAATTAGGTACCATTTTTTGTCATTTCCGGACTGTTCTGTTAAAAACAAAAGAGCAACAGGTAACGAGCATAAAATTAAGGTTAATTTTCATTGGAACGGTGGAAAGTGTCGCATTGGTCGTACCAATTCTATACGAAGCTAATTGATAGAAAGTGTCCAAAGCAGTACCTACTTCTATAATACTTTGATGCACATATTCGCGGTTACGAAAACAAATGGTTTTCAACAATGAAAATATTTGTGTGTGTATTTTGTTGCATTTTTTGGAAGTCCAGTATTTTTTTATAGTATATACTTATAACACATCAGAAATATGTTAAATTTTGGTTTTAATACTATTGTTTTTAATATCTTTCTCTAGATTTGAATATACGGTTATATAAGAATATAATAAGAATAACGGTTATACGGTTATTATAATAGCCAACGATATACAAGAACTGCAAAGCATTATAGATTACGTAGTCCACTATAGTGAGATGTTTGGACTGCATCTCAATGTCTCCAAGACCAAACTATTGGTCTTTTCTAAGACTCCAATAAATGCACACCTGCGTGGGGACAACAATCGAACAAGTGACCTCAATAAAGTATGTAGGAGCTAACATCAATAGTCGGTGCGACCCGAAAAGACAAATATTTTCGTAAGAATGAAATCGTTTTTTACAAGACGAGACCTCAGTGCGAACCTCAGAACTCGAATGGCCAGATGCTACGTCTTCTCTGTGTTACTCTATGGATGTGAGAGCTGGACACTGAATTCACAGACCGAAAAGAGAATAGAAGCCTTCGAAATGTATGCGAATCTCATGGGTACAAAGAATCACCAA